TGTGAAATAGTTGGCTGTCTGGAAATAGTACTATCTCTTAAGAAATTCACTCTATTAGGTTGCAGGACCGAAGATCTTACTCTGGTATAGTTCTAACTGTCATAAGGCATTATGGAATTAATATTCAGGTGATGTTTACCATATGAGTAGTTTTAAACTGAACAATGGCAATATTCATCTATTTTTTATTTTTATTTTTTTTTGAGACAGAGTTTCATTCTTGTTACCCAGGCTGGAGTGCAATGGCGCGATCTTGGCTCACCACAACCTCCGCCTCCTGGGTTCAGGTAATTCTCCTGCCTCAGCCTCCTGAGTAGCTGGGATTACAGGCATGCACCACCAAGACCAGCTAATTTTTTGTATTTTTAGTAGAGACGAGGTTTCACCATGTTGACCAGGATGATCTTGATCTCTTGACCTCGTGATCTACCCACCTCGGCCTCCCAAAGTGCTGGGATTACAGGCGTGAGCCACTGTGCCCGGCCCATCTATTTACAACCATTCAAGATGATCTGTAAGATTCATTTTGTCCAAAATAGAGAGGGGTGTAGGTGTCCCCTGTAAGGTGAAAGAGTACTGTGGGCATCCTACAGGGCTGCAGTGTGGTCACTCCACACTTTCCTGGATTTGCCAGGGGGTTCTGTCCTCTCTCACAGTGAGTAAACACAGGGACAAGCAAAGATACTAGGGAAGTCAAAGATGAGTGTTACTTTCCTTGTCACTACAATCGAAAGAATGTAATTGAGCCATTGTCCACAAGCACAAAGAAGATAAAAAAAGTTAAGTGACTGGCCCTCAGTGCTCATTCACAGGAGATGAAGAATCAAAATCTGAAACAGTTCTCCATCAGATATTCACTCCATTGTTCAAGCTTTTATCCAGTCAACTACACATAGTTTTTCTCTCTATATGGAGATATGACTGGGCCTAGAACATGAATGCCACAAATTCTATGACACAGCAAAATATTTTATAATATAATATAAGGTGTATACATTTCCTTGATGGAAAACAACCTAAAATATTAGCTATTTTTAGAAACATTTATGCCATTCCAAACAACAGATGTAATAGAGCAAATGTTTTTTTCTTTATAAACTTGGTAGCATATGGACCCCAGATATATTCAAGAAAACAAATTTATATTTTCTCCTTGGTGGGTTCTCATTTTGTTATTTCTTACAGTAGTGCATTCAGGAAGACAAATAATGCTTTTGTTGTATGACCTTTGTCAGAGTTATTTGTAAATACTCTTACTATAATAGAAAAAAAATCAACCTCTATATAAATTAAAGACAGTAATTTTTCTTGATTGAAAGTATTTGTCTAAAAAAGAACTTCACTTTTAATTATTGAAGATGCTTTATTGTTTTATTTGTAGTAGGGACTCTTTCTGGGAAAAATAACAAAGAGCAATCGTTAATTTCTGAAATCATTGATGCTGTTCTAGTTTATATATCTTTTATGTAATACAGATTTTAATGTTACTTGAATTTTCTTTTCATTTTAAAACTGTCATGTAAACAAAAGCCACTACAGGTAATTTAGTTTTAATTATAGTTTTTCATGTAGTTTGTAGCATGAGCATCTTATGTCTACCATAAACTAATAAGTTATTATTTTGAACCATTAACAACCTGACAATCTAAGATTTTGCTTCAAAAAAAAAAATTCCATTTGCCATTGACAAGCAATATCATCCTGCCTAATAAATCTGAGCACATTTTGGTCAGCCAAGATGAATGCTTAAGTAAATTGTCCCACCTAACACCACAATTCTGTAGTTTATAATAAAAGACAGAAGCAGTGATATCACAATAAAAGCTTAGCAGGCAGTTAGCTCACTCTGGGAATGGCATTAGTAGTACTAAGACTAAAAACATTCAACTGACCTCAAGTTTTGTTTCTCTTTCTTGGAATGATGTAGCAAGAAAAATAGAAATAAGCAAAAAATAAGAGCAAATAAAAATGTCTAGTATGAAATTTTAGGGATCTTGAACAAATGTTTTGTTTATTTCTCTCATTTGTAAGTTTACCATCTTAGATATGTAAAACAATATCCTAATTTTTAAAAGAATCAAACCTCTGGAGACCAGATATTATACCCTACCATACTAATTAGTAATACTTTGTATTTGGAATAGTTCACGTGTTTCCTAAACTCTGAGTTTTGCTAATTTTTGTGCATTTCCTCTTGTTTAGTCCTCAGTGGAAATGAAGTTCTTTGTTAAAGAAGATAAAGGATGTTCAGTCACCATCTTTTAAATTAGAATATTTCATGGCTTGATGATTGATACAGTTTCGTTGTGTCTCTATCCAAATATCACCTTGAATTGTAATTCCCATAACCCCCACATGTCATGGCAGGGATCCAGTGGGAAGTAATTTAATCATGGGGGCATTTCCCTCCATGCTGTTCTCGTGATAGTGAGTTCTTATGAGATCTGATGGTATTATAAGGGGCACTTCCCCTTTTGCTTGGCACTTCTCTCTCCTGCTGCCATGTGAAGAAGGATGTGTTTGCTTCCACTGCTGCCATGTTGTAAGTTTCCTGAGGCCTCCCTAGCCTTGTGGAACTGTGAGTCAATTAAACATCTTTCCTTTATGAATTACTCAGCCTTGGGTAATTCTTCATAGCAACATGAGAACAGACTAATACAATAATAGATATTATATCTGGGCTGTCATTTTCTTTGTAAAATAAATAATCTCACTACCCTGTATATTTTCTCATCTCTTTAATTTCAAAATTACTAGTTCACATTGAGAACTGGAAGGAGCAATAGACAACAGCTTAAGAGTCAAGGCTGTAGTCACAATTTTGTCATATATTAACCATGTGGCTTCCAATAACTTGCTTCAACCTTTCTGAGTCTTACCATCAGTTAAATGGGAAGTTTGGACAGTTATCTATAATTATTCTTGTGTATCTAAAATGAGTTCTAACTCTTCCCTGAAATTTATATAGTTCCCCTATATTAATCAGGGAATCCAGAACAGGACACAGCATGCTGGTGCTAAGTATATAAGTAATGTCATTATTCTGACATGTTTTACAACTATGGCTGAATCATAGTCTCAAAATAGAGATTTTAAATTATTGGAAATCTGCAGTGATATAGTAATTTTATTATCCATGTTGACCTCAAGATGTTTTTTTCCTTGTAATCTTGCTCATCCTTATGAGCTTCGAAATGTTTAACTTTGTTTTCAGGATATCAGCTGAAGATGTACCAATTGACATGCCTTTTCTTTACTACCTATTATTCCTCCAACATATCATTATATACATATGACCTGGACAACAACTGTCTAACTTTTATGTCTGGCAATACATCATTTACTCCCTTAATTATTATTTCCACAAATCACCAAAGAAAACATTTAGCATTGTCAGGGTGGTGCTGGCCCTGGAAAAGAACCACCAGTGTTGACACTGATCCTCTGATAAGTCCTCTCATTAAACTACCAAGAATAGTGTGATCAACCCTAGAACCTATGTTCCCAACTGACTTATTTTCCACTTCTCAGTTTATTTGCTTCTATTTAGTGCTATATGTTCCATTGATCTCCTTTCCTTGAGAGATACAAAGCAGCTTAAGCTGAGAGTATAAAATCTAGAAATCTATTTAGATAACATGACAACAGAAAATGTCGCATGGTTAGGAGAAAGAAAGGCAGTAAAAATTATAGCCACCTGACCTCTGTCAACCAATAAATCTTTAAATATAAAGAACTCAGAAACTCCAGTTACAAATTGAGATTATCAGAATGGGCAACAACGCAAGACAACTTTATGCTGTCAATAAGAAATCCACTTTAACTATGAAGACACAAACAGTATAAAAGTAAAAAGAGGGCCGGGTGCAGTGGCTCACTCCTGTAATCCCAGCACTTTGGGAGGCCGAGGTGGGTGGATCACGAGGTCAGGAGATCTAGACCATCCTGGCTAACACGGGGAAACCTCATCTCTACCAAAAATACAAAAAAAAAAAAAAAAAAAAAAAATTAGCCAGTGTGGTGGCTTGCATCTGTAGTCCCAGCTACTAGGGAGGCTGAAGCAGGAGAATCGCTTGAACTCAGGAGGTGGAGGTTGCAGTGAGCTGAGATTGTGCCATTGCACTCCAGCCTGGGCAACACAGAGAGACACTGTCTCAAAACAACAACAAAAAGTAAAAAGAAAAAAATACATCATGTAAATACTAATGACAAGAAAGCTATTGTGACTACATTTATATAAGAGAAAACAATATTCAAACAAGAGGCGATATGCAAGATAAGGAGAAATATTTTATGATAATAAAAGGTTGAACTCATAAACAAATTTTAAATGTGTTACATCCATAACACAGCCTCAAAGTACATAAAACAAACTTTACAAAACTAACGGGAGAAACAGACAAGTTCACAATCATTGTTGGAGATGTCAACAGCTCATTTTTACAAATAATAGAACAAGTAAATTTTTTAAAGCCAATAGCATTATATTGTATTTGAACAGCACCATCAACATGTGATCTAATGGGCTTTTATCTAGTCTGTTATTCAGGAGATGCAGAATATACTTTCTTTTCAAGCATGCATATAACATTAACAAAAAAGACAGTATTAAAGCTCTCAATAAATTCTGAAGCATTGAAATCACAGAGTATTTTATCTGACCCCCAACAGAATTAAAGTAAAAACTGGTAATAAAAATATATCAATAAATTTCCAAATATTTGGTAACTAAGCAACATATTTCTAAATAATCTATTGGTCAAAGTGGAAATCACAGAAGAAATTGGAAAATATTTTGACCTGAGCAATAAAAAAATAAATCAAACTGGAATTTGTTAGATGCAGCTAAAACTACTTAAAAGGAAATTCACAGCTTTAAATGCTTATATTAGAAAACAGTAAGTTCTAAAGGCAATAATCTCTTCCACCTTAAAAATCTATAACAAGAAATACAAATCATTTTAAGTAATCGAAAGAAAGGAAGTACAGATTAGAACAGAAATAAATCTCAAACAATACAAAAATCAACAAATTAAGTTTTTTCAAAAAGTTAATAAAATTAATAATCCTCTAGCGAGGTTAAGAAAAATATAAGGAAATCACAAAATTTCCAAGTCAAGAATAGAAGAGGAACTATCACCACAGATTCTGCAGACATTAGAAGGATAATGTTTAAAAAATGTATTATGAACAGCTCTATGCCAATGATTTTGATAACATAGATGAAAATGGCAGATGCCTTGAAAAATATAATTTCCAAAGTGATAAAAGAAGGTATGTGTAATCTGTACATATTTTTAAAATTTAACTTGTAATTAATAACCTTCCTACAACAAAAAACTTCTGGGCCAGATGCCTTTGGGAGTGAATTCTAGCAAACATTTAAGAAAAAAGAAACAAAAATCAATCTTACACAAACTTTTCTAGAAAGTAGATGATGGGCAGGGGTCTGATGGTGATGGTGGACAGCACACACATCTCAATTCGTTTTATGAGGCCATATAACCCTAATACCAAAATCTGAAAAGGGATTCTTCTGTAAATTCTTACAAAAGAATTTACAAGGAAATATTTCCCATTAAAATACAAAGAAAAAATCCTTAACAAAGTATTTATTAGTAATGAAATTCCTGCAGTATATTAAAAGGATGATACATCATGACCAAATCCTGCTTATCTTAATACAATATTGGGCTAGGTATGGTGGCTCATGCTGGTAATCCCAGCATTTTGAGAAGCCGAGAGGCATGGACCTCAGTAGGTAAGGAGTTCAAGGCCAGCCTGGCCAACATGGTGAAACCTAGTCTTTATAAAAATACAAAAATTAGCTGGGTGTGGTGGTACGTGCCTGTAATCCCAGCTACTCAGGAGGTTGAGGCAGGAGAATTGCTTGAACCCAGGAGGCAGAAGTTGCAGTGAGCCAAGATGGTGCTACTATACCCCAGCCTGGATCAAAACTCTGTGTCAAAAAAAAAAAAAAATACAATATTGGTTTACATTCAAACATCAATCAATGTAAATAATCTATTTTGTCAAAATTGCTGGCATGGAGCTGTTCATAATACATTTTCTTACTATCCTTCTAATGTCTGTAGGATCTGTGGTGGTAGTTCCTCTTTCATTCTTGACTTTGATATTTTGTGATTTCCTTATTTTTTCTTAATCTTGTTAGAGGTGTATTAATTTCATTAACTTTTTGAAAAAACCTTTTAAATTTGTTGATTTTTGTATGTAAATCAAAAAGGAGAAAAATCTCATGGTCACTTCAATACATATGGAAAGAGCATTTAACAAAATTAAACAAACTCTCAGTGAACTTCGGATAGAGGATGACTTCCTCAATATGATAAAAGAAAACTATGAAAAATCTTCAGCTAACATTACACTTAATGGTGAAATACTAAATATTTTTCCACTAAGACAAATAAAAAGTATATTTATTTCACTAATTTGATTCAACATTGTACTTGCCCTAATCATTGCAAAAGACATAACAGTTAGAAAAGATGAATTAAAATTGTTTTCATTTTAGACATGATTGTATATGAAGAAATTCCTAAAAAAATCTACCCCCACAAAAAAAGCCAAAAACACCCCAAAAAAACCCATAAAATCTACAAGATCTACTAGAAAAGAAGTGGTGCCATGATTTGATCAAAATTTGGGAATTCAAGACAAATACACAAATATCAATTCTATTTCTATGTGCTATCAACAATTGGAATTAAAGCACAAAACATATACTTTCAGGAAACATTTAACAATATATGTGCAAGATATGTACATTGCAAACTAAACAATATTGCAAAGTTGTAAAAATGATACAGTGGGCAGGGTGCTGTGGCTCATGCCTATAATCCTAGCACTTCAGGAGGCCAAGGCAGGTGGATCATGAGGTCGGGAGATCGAGACCATCCTGGCCAACACAGTAAAAACTGGTCTCTACTAAAAATACAAAAATTATCTAGGTGTGGTGGTGTGCACCTGCAGTCCCAGCTACTCAGAAGGCTGAGGCAGGAGAATTGCTTGAACGTGGGAGGCGGTGATGGCAGTGAGCTGAGATTGTGCCACTGCACTCCAGCCTGGGTGACAGAGTGAGACTCCATCTCAAAAAAAAAAAAAAAAAAAAAAAAAGATACAGTGTACTTTGGGTACTTGGGGGGAAAGGGTGGGATGTGGCTGAGGGATAAAGGACTACAAATTGGGTTCGGCATATACTGCTTGGTGATGGGTGCACCAAAACATCACAAGTCACCACTAAATAACTTAATCATGTAGCCAAACACTACCTGTTCCCCCAAAACCTATGGAAATAAAAAAAAATTTTTTTAAGAGAAGAAGAAAAAAAGGAAAAACAATTAAAGCACCAGGCTAGCTATATTACGATGTTTTATGTGTCTACAGTGTGTTTTTATATGAGCATCTCAGAAGACGTTACTGATACTTTGATTTTACCCAAATAAATCTACTTTTTCAATTAAAAATAAAGAATAAATGGAGGGATATAACATATACATGGGTTACAAGACTCATTATTGTTAATATCCCAAATTAATTTATAGATTCAATGCAATTCCAATCACATGCACAGCAGGAATATTTTTTAAAACTAAAATTTAAATGGAAATGTAAAAGGCCTAGAATCAGTAAAACAATCTTGCAAAAGAAAGTTGGAGAAGCTAATCTACAGAATTTCAAGACTTAGTGTAATACTACAGCAACCAAGAGAATGTGGTATTCATAGGAGGCTAGATAATAGATTAATGGTGCAATACACAAAGCCCAGAAACAGTCCCATCCATTTATGGCCAAAAGGGTTTTTTTTTTTTACAAACTGTCAATAAAATTTATTGGCAAATAATTTTTTTTTCAACAAAAGAAGGTGGAAATGTGGATATCCATACCAAGAAAAAGTGACAAAGATGACCAACTTTTTATATTATACACAAAAAATTAAGCAGAGAAGTATTACAGAGGTAATGTAAAAGTTAAATCTATAAAATAAACAACTGGAGGGTCTCTCTGTGAACTTATGTTCTGGCAACAATTTATAGACAAAATGCAAAGAGTACTGATTGTAAAGCGAAAAGTGGATAAACAGGATGTATCAAAATTCAAGACATTAATAAAAAAATAAAAAGTCAAGCCACATATCAAGATAAAATATTCTCAATGTATATAACTAACAAAAAAATTGGATACAGAATATTTTTTACAGTCTTCTGCAAATCAATAAGAAGATAAACACCTAATAAAAGTATGCAAAAGTTTAGAACAGACACTTAGTAAAAGATAATATATCATGGCCAATAAACACATGAAAACATATTAAATACATTAGGGAAATGCACATTAAAACTACTAAAATATCATCATATATCCATTGGAATTCCTAGGATTAAAACTACTTAATGTCAGAGAGAAGGTAAAGCTATGGATTACTCACACACTGCTGGTGGAAAGTAAAATAGTACAACCACTTTGGAAAACTGACAGTTTCTCCTAATGTTAAATGTACACATAACCTTTGACCTAGCAATTCTAATTTTAGGTATTTACACACAAAAAAGATATCCAAAAGGTTGTGTAGAGAAATGGTCACTCCACTTAATTTATAATCATAAACATTGTAATTAATCCAAATATCCTTCAACAGAAGCATAAACAAATTATAATATGTTCACACAATGAAATACTACTCAGCAAAAAAGGAACAAACTAAAATACATGCAATCACATGAATGCATCTAAACAATATATTTATATTATGCAATACATCCAGTTCAAGAATAGGCAAAGCTAATATGTGGTTTTATTATTCTGATAAAATCAGAATAATTGTTGTTCCTGGAAGAAGACAGATTGACTAGGAAGGGGCATGAGAAAATTTCTGAGCAGTGCTTTGTATCTTGTTTGGGGATATTGTTAACAGGAGCATAAACATTTGTCAAAATTCATTCCTTGGTACACTCAACATCTGTATGTAATTATACTTCAATGACATAAAGTATAATAAGAAGTTCTTCAAACCCCCAAATCTGGCATGTATGGTATGCCATATTTATGCAGTTATATTTCCGTGTGCACATATAAAGAAACCAGTTTGCTTGCCCATGTTAGAATCTACTCTTCTGAATTGGATTTGAATGAATTTTTTCAATGCCTTATAAATATTATTTAGATGAGACAGAAATCCAGTATCTTATTGACCAATGATCTCAACATGACATATAGTTGAACTCATAAACACAAATATAGAACTGCTTGCAGAGGATCTGGGGCCTAGGAAAATGAAGCAGGTGCCCTGAATCTTGCATTTTGGAGCCTGCATACTTCGGGCTTTGGGGAGGCAGGCCATAAAGTATACAATTATTTCAATTGCTCTAAAAAACAATCTGAGTAATAGCCCATAGCATATGAGAGCCATACAAGATCTCTGAGTTCTTATAGGTCAGCCCAATAATGGTACATGTGGAGAACTTGACACCCCAAGAGGTTAAATATTTGCCCATAAACACATAGCTTGTTAGTGGTAATCTCGGGCTAAAATCCAAATATTCTTATTCCTAACACCATGTGAAGTCACTGTATCTGTATGTTTCTCACAGCTATAATTACTCACCATTTTCAAAGCAGAATTGAATGGATGGACCATCAGGATATTCCAGTCTAAACATTTTTTTTTAAATCTCCCATCACCTTTATGGATTCCTTTGATATATATTCCAACCAGATTTAGACCAGAAAAAGGAGAGTGAGTAACTGCTTGCTCAAGCCCATAACCCTTTAGGGCTGGGTCATGACTGAGAAAGAATTTTATTGCAAGGTAATTGCATTTCAGTTTCTTACAGCAACTTCCCTACAGAGGTTTTAGGATTAGAGTGGAATGCATTGCATCACTGAATGCAACTGGCATGCATCTATTCCATAACATGAGCATAGAAATACATTTGCAATTACTGTACTTATTGTTATATGGTTGCCTTTTTCTTTTTCTTTTGGAGGGAATTTAAAGATCATTTACATTTTCAAGATACAAGCAAAATTTTACTCTCCAAATTATAACCTCATTTTTTGCAGTCATTGTATAATTTTAGAAAACGTAGAGATCTTGATTATATCCCATGTTTCCTTTGGAAGACTGAATTGGCTGTCTGATACTCTGTTTATATTTTAATGAAAACTAATTTTCTTTTTCCACAGTAATGAAGACCTTCAGGGCTGTTGTGTGTATGGGAAAAGTGAACATCGGGGACCTGGGATTACCCAAATCATTTGCTCTCCAAAGGATTTCTGTTATTCTTGTACCCATTCCCTAGCCTATGCCCAAGCCATTCTGGACTGTCACAGAAAGAGAATTTATGGTTAGAATTGTAGTTTCCAGAGTTTTAAAAATTCATTCACTGCGGAATGTTTGAGACCCATGTGAAAAATTTTATCCACATCAGTCAGTTTGGGAACACTCAAGGTGTCTTATAACCCATAGGCAACTTGAGGTAGGTGAGCCCCAGAAAACTGCAAAGTCTTCTGATTCTCTTTTCTCCAACTCTGTTTGACTTTTTTTTAAATTAACATGAAAGGTGAGATAAAAAGAGTTGGAGAAAAGAGAATGAGAATGTTAATTAACATGGAAGGGTTTTCCAAACCTTCCATGTTAATTTTCTGCAAGCAGGTATTGTGAAGTCACATAAACAGAGAGAGGCTTAGCAGGGAACAGCCAGAGAGAAGGAGGACCAAAAGTATAGGCCGGGATGCATTCAACAAGACTGTTGAAAATGCACACTGAAAAGTCTGGGGGAGCATTAAACCATGAATTCATGTATTTCAGACTTTTCTGGAAAGCACCATTCTTGGAAAGTTCCCAAGGTATATTAATTGAGCAATAGCTAGTTAGCTTTTTTGGAAAATGCATCAAAGCTGAATGACTTCCATTGTACTTTATAATAAATAAACCTCTCTTTTGGAATGCTAATAAATATTAGCATTTCTTTTTAATTCTTAATTTTTAATAAAATAAACACATTCACATTTCTTGTTTTTTTCCCCTTTCCTCACCATGCCAAGATTTCTGGTGTACCACAAAATCCAGTTTTTGTCTATCTTGATTCTACATGAGCCACCTTACGTGCCCTGGTGCCAATGTGTTAAGAACCATGAATGACTTCATCTAGTACTAACTTGGACTTCTATATGTGGGACTTGACATGGGGTACTCAGGAGAGCAGTCCTTTGATTGATTCCATAGTGTGTCTGTGACAGTGTAGAAGCACTATGGGGCATTTTTAGAGGCAGCATTAAGGTTATATAAGCCAGAACAAAATGTACTGGCATAAATCCTCAGTAAATATTTATTAAGATCAATGGCTTCATACGATGTGCTGATGGTAGCTTTCTGCTCAGCTGGAATTAAGATAAATTATACTATTGATGCATTAGGACCTTCTCTGTGCTTTGAAAGCACAGGACAGTAGTTCTTTTTTTCTCACATAACCTATATACCTTCCTCGTCACCAGAAATGGCACCACAATGCTTTCATGTTTCTTTAATTTGCGGCCAGTTTGCCCTGGTTTGGTAACAACTATGTGACCTACAGAAATGTCTTAGATAAGAGCCAGCATGAGATTGTGATGACTCATTTGACCTCTACTTATGTGGCCAGTGTTAAGGTGTTAACAGTCAGTTCATAGTCATATCGGACAGTTATCAATGAGTAATACCTCAGCTAGCACTGTAAACAGCAGTGAAGACTAAGTCAACACAGCCTTTCAGAGCACGTTACCGGGGGCTTGTGATGGAAAAGGGCACAGCAGACCCCCAACATGTTTATAGAATGTAAGATTATTGTTGGTCAATATTATACTTGGCCATAAAAGAATACTTTTCTTCTCCCTGACATACTTTTTCAAAAATAAGTGGTTGCAAGACCTTATCTAAATCTTCATTACCTTAGATACTCTTGAGTGTGATTTTGAGCATTCGGGTATATTTTCCATGATGCCCTCTTCCCCCAGACTGGTGTCCTTCAAGGGAAAGAATAAGATTTGGGGTTTTAATATATAGCCAGGATATAAAGAAAATTTAACTAGATCCTTTAAAATAAAAACATAAAGTATTTTAATAATTAAAAGAAAAGAAATAATTTTTTCCCATTTCTGTGACAAAAAGAATCAATACTGTTGTATTTCTAGTATCTTTATCAGGTAAGCCATAAACTAATTGGTAAGTGCAGTTGGCTGCTACCGATTTACTTGAAATTATGATCTGAATTACTGAATTAGCTCAGCTGAAGTCAAATCAGTTGTGTCAAAAGGAAACATCACCCTCTGCCCACCAAAAGAATAATAAACTGGTCTACAGCAGTGGTCTTCAAATTCAGAGCCAGAAAACACTAGTGAGCCATTATAACCTTTGTTCACAAGTTACTCAGGATTTAAGTTATAATAAAACCCCATCTATGGCACTTGGCTTTTAGACAAATATGACAGACAGAGTACAAACTCTTTAGAGATTTGCCATCAAAATTTTTGCAATCTCCCCTCTCATCCTGGGTACAGTGGCCTAGAGAACATCTGTGTATTTTTTATTTGTTGGCTGGTTAGCTTTGCCTTCCAAATTAGTAGCCCGTGGCTCAGACATATTTGATTACTACTCATCTACAGAACACGTTGGGTTAAATGCTTTAAAATCTACTCTCTGCCTTTGCCTTTGCCTTTGCGTGGGATAATGACTCTCTTCAAGACGTCCTAGCCATTGTTTTCTGTTTCCTCATTTTGATTCAATAATAATAAAAGTGGCTACCAATCATTTCTTTTCAAATAATTACTACATTTAAAAAAATTTTATTAAACTAACTCTGAGCTCAACTAGGTTTTCACATTTGTTGTTGGTGGTGAGTATTTCAATAGAGGGGCAAAATTTTTCACGTAGGATTTTTCCAGAAACTTGATAGGACATCTTTCAATCTCTCTCTCTCTCTCTCTTTTTTGAGATGGAGTCTTGCTCTTTTGCCAGGCTGGAGTGCAGTGGCATGATCTTGGCTCATTACAACCTCCGACTCCGAGATTCAAGCCATTCCCCTGCCTCAGCCTCCTGAATAGCTGGGTCTACAGGCGCACGCCACTACACCCAGCTAATTTTTTGTATTTTAGTAGAGACAGGGTTTCGCTATGGCCAGGGTGGTCTCGATCTCCTGACCTCATGATCTGCCCACCTTGGCCTCCCAAAGTGCTGGGATTACAGGCGTGAGCCACCATGCCCTGCCTAAATCTCTCTTTTAAGTCTTAGATTAAAATATTCAGGCCAGGCGCAGTGGCTCACGTCTGTAATCCCAGCACTTCGGGAGACCGAGACAGGAGAATCACAAGGTCAAGAGATTGAGACCATGTTGGCCACCAGGGTGAAACCCTGTCTCTACTAAAATACAAAAATTAGCTGGATGTGGTGGCATGTACCTGTAGTCCCAGCTACTTGGGAGGCTGAGGCAGGAGAATTGCTTGAACCCGGGAGGCGGAGGTTGCAGTGAGTTGAGATGGTGCCACTGCACTCTAGCCTGGCACCTGGTGACAGAGCAAGATTGTCAAAAAAAAAAAAAAGAAAAAGAAAAAGAAATGCCACTTGACTATGCACATAACCATGAAGAACTCAGCTCAGTACATCTCATCAGCTTGGCAGTGAAGCTCTGGCAGTCTCCAAATGAAGGCCTAATTGCTGCTCAATTATGATCTGTTTTCCTTTTATGCTCCTAAAATATTGGAAATGGTGTGTCTTTGAAATGTACTACATGCTTCAGGAAAATAATGTATAAAGAACTCATCCTTAAAAGGGTTTTCTTAGGGCAATTCCTTAAATATTTTTCATATTTCATTGACAAATTGACATAAAGCATAATTGGGTGTTTAGTAGATAATCAATGGGTCTGATAGTTTTGTATTTTTGTTCATCTGTTTTCTTTACCTAGGAAATACTGAATTATAAACAAATGGCATCAGGCATTACAGATGCTGAAATTTGAGAGGGGCAGTTGGAAAGGGTTATTTGTGCCCTATAATACACAGAACCAAAATCATGTGGTCTGGGTTTCTAAAGAATGCAACGGACTATTTGTCAAATTTACTATAAACAGAGAAAGGGATGATCAATTTCAAAATGACTTATTATTCAGTGCTCACACAGTTGTGTCATTTCCTGTTGGCTAAAGAGTGAGTACTAAGTCAACACAGCAGCAGTAAATCATAGCAGTCAGCATTAATGAGGAAAAGCAAGGCTGAATGTTTCAGCTCAGTCTGAAGTGCTCTTACCACACAGCCTAGACAACTGAGTGCTGTGTCCTTGAGAGGGCAAATAGACATAATTTTAAGAGAAAATAAAGGAAAAGATTCTCTTCCAAGAAAACAAATTATTCCCAAATAACCAGTTCAATACATTAAATTTTATGAATCATCTTTCCTCAATTCCTCACTGAAAAAAAATGCCTCCTATTTTGTTGATGTTGTATAAGGCCAACTGAGCGATCACCCTCTTCTGACTACCCCAAAAAGAGACAATTGTGAAATCACCTTTCAGTACAGAGCAGTTTACAAGTTTTACACTCTTGTCTTTAATTTCATATTGAAATGCCTATATTTGAAACTATTTAATATCCATCATCTCATTAAGTTCTCAAAGAGAATGCCCATGACTCATATTCATATTTTGTGGCATAATGTCTCTGAAGGCATCCTGCACGTTTTCTTGCTTTGATGTCAGCCATCTCTCTGCTCCATTGATGATGCCTATGAGAGACCTGCGCTTCCTCCTCATTGTGCGCTTGCTTCTTCCAACACTTCTGCTGGAGTCTGAAGAGAGGCAGGCAGCCATGAAGAAGCAATTAGTATTATGCCTTACAATATTTCACTGTGGGCCAAGATCTTCATAAATACACTGAACATGAAAAGGGAGGTGTCTGTAGTGTGTTTCTAAACAATTCTGGAAAGCACAGGGCACATAATTTTCTAAGCAGTGCTATTGTGCAACTTTAAGGAGGCAAATGTTAACATCCTCAGGTAAGGATGAAAGTGCGGAGAAGAATTTAGTCAGCGTTCGCCCAAGGACAGACAGTGCCTTGGTTTAGTCTGGACTAAAACCCAAGTCCCTGACTTGTAGTCACTCGAATCACAGAAACAATTGTTTATCTGTCTTGTGCTATCCCTAGATGGGGACTCTCTCTCAATTATTTCTAATCTCCAGGCCTGGAATCAGCCCTTTTTGTGTCAAAGGGGATGTAGTTTCTATGGGAGGGGAGATTTCCTCTAATAAGTAAAGGGTTAGCCATGAATAAAATAGTTTTTACACTCAAGCCTTTTAGGGCAACTGAATGTGTTCTATTAACTAAGTCATACAGAAATTTTGCTATTGCTTTTCTATTCTCTTGGTCTTAAGGATAAATCAGAAAAAGGAGAGTAACAAGAAGACAAAAGAGGACAAACAAGAATAACGAAAGGAAGGATGCTAGGTAAAATACAATCCTCTCAGGTGAGGCTTCACATTTTCTAAATCAATGTGTTGCTTAGGGGAAAACCTTTCATTGCAGTCCAAAATTTTAGTCTTTTCCAGGAATTTAGGTATACTTGGATCTTATGTTTTCATTGAAGATGAGCAGTTTCATCAAGGTTTCACAGGTAGTGAGTGAGTGCAGACCAAGAACTGGAGTCACTTCATTCATTCATTCATTCATTCATGGAATCATGCTGCTACCCTGTTCCAAGTCCTCCCATGACTGACTCCACATTACCTTGAGAATGAAATCCAAATTCTACAGCCAATTATTCAGCCCCTGCCTACTTCCTTTTGCTCCCCAACCTACGCTCTCCCTCCTTCAGTGGGCCTCAGTCATTTTGGCCTTTCTTCTGTTCCTCAAATCTGCCAAGCCCTTTCCCTCCAGCATATACCCTTTCTACTGTCTGGGAGTGTTTTTCTGCTGGACCATGGGTCTGATCCCTACCCTACTATACTTTAATCATCTTTTAACCATGTTTTATATGAAGAAAACACAGGATGATCTTAGGTCTTCATTTACTTTTTATCTCCTGGCTGGAATGTAAGCTTTGTGAGAGTAGCAAACAAGTCTGCCTTGTTTACTGCTATATCTGCAGTTCCTAGAACAGTGCGTGGTTTACAGCAGATGCTGAATAAATAATTGTTAAACTAAAAGTTAGATGAATTTTAAAATATATTAAGTATCCACTTCACACTAAACACTAAAGATTTTAAAAAGGAAAAGGAAGAATTCTTACCCTAGACGGATTCAAAACCTGGTGACTTCAGACAGTTGGTTTTTCTCTTCTATTAGACATCCATTAAATTTTGCTCAGCAACTGGCAGATTCCTGGAAATTCAGGTCACCTGATTTCCAAAAATAGTCATCCACTATGATTCCAGATGATTCTATGGTGAAGTGATTATGCATCTTGCTTTGCCTGGGATAGACCCTGTTTACCCATGTTGTCTAGCCATAATCACTGGTAGTGCCTCTTTTTACTCTCAAAAGTATCCCAGCTTAGATGATAAATTATATGGTTACCCTATTCATTGATCAGCCAATTCATAAACACTCTTAATTATTTCTAGTTAGAGTGATTTAACCATATAAGCTACATAAATTCAGGAATATGGAAGGTCAAATCATATCTCTGGAAAGGGGTAACTTAAGAAATTAAAAATAAGACAAAAGATGGGATGGACCCAGCGCCAATTAGTGAGTCCACTAATGAAGCCGGAATTTCTCAAGACACGTTCAACAGTCATGAGAAGTGCAAATAAGATTTTACATGCAAACTATAACAGAGGTCAAGGACTCTTTATTGTGCCAGAAACTGTTCTGCATACATCACTTGCATTTCCTCATAATTACATTATGACTCCTATTTTACAGATGGTGAAATTGAGGCTCAGAGAGGCTAAATAATCCATCCACGGTCATACGGAAAATGTGAAGTTGGGGACCCAAATACACCTCTTTGTGATATCCTGCCTCAACTACTATGCCCATTGCTTCTCAATCAAGTAAACGAACAAGCAAACATGTAAATAATTTGATAAATGTTTGCTGTGTTTAAGTAGCTGTGGGAAATGCTAGGTTAAACTATATTAAATAGGCTGCTTTTCTCTAGGATTTTTAAATGTTTGTAACGTATCAGTGTGCTTGCTGAATCTTCAACAAGTGATGCGGACACAGTTTCACCCTCACTAATTGGCCCATGGTACCCTGTGTGTCAGGAGGCACTATAGCTCTGAAGAGCAAACATTGGCAAAGGCTGCTCTAGGAACCCCAGCAGGGCCAGCAACCTACTTGTCTGTGGGTCAGCCTTCCACTTGTGTAAACACAGACCCACCGATGGAGTCTGAGTCACTGCTTTTGGTGGGGGTTCCAATTTTCTCAGACCTGAATAGGACATCATTCTTGGATCACCTACGCTTCAGGGGCCCTACCAGTCCACTACTTACATCAGTGCCTTTTCACTTCCCATGTTGAACGTTCTGCTTCGTTTGTTTTCACCCCACCTTCATCTCATTTAAAAGACTAGGAGGCTCCATCGGGGACCATATAAGTTATTTTTAGCCAATGTCCTACTACAGTGTAATGACTGAAACCTCCTGAGCATTTGGGGTGCACGAGATGAAGAGGAGAATAAGAAAGACTTCTGATAGAAAAAGAACAAATACGTGGACTATTCTGGTCCTTTCTAAGACTTTTGCTTTTGGTGAAGAGTTGGAGGGCTAGGGAAATAGATGTGGAGGAGGGGAGAAGAGAGAGTGGAGGGTTGTACCTGTATTTTTCAGCTAAAAGTGTTTGTGCCTTCTGAGTTCAGCCTAGGGTGCTTTGATTCCACGAGGATGGAGGAGGCTATAGATAAATAATTAACAGACAGTATCAAAATCTGTCCACCTTTCACCATTTGCAGTCTCCTCACTGCAAATGTGGAGAGGTGCAACTCGGCGGACAAGTGTTTGTGTCCCAAGTGCAGTAGGGCTGTCTGCAATGGCCTTTGTCACTCAGTCATGAGCATCTTCCACTTCTTTTTCTTCTCACCTCCCACCTCCTGTCCCCACTCCTCAAAACCTTTCTGCATCCACCTTTATGACTGAAACTGACAGGTTTCAGAAGCCATTCCACTACTGTGACCCAGCCACACCAGTTCTTGCATCGGGAATAAACAGGCTGATCTATTGGTCCATGGCCTATGTACTTGACACAAATCATTAGAAAAAACAGAACCTTAACTCTTCTGTGCCCAAGATTTGCTTCCTATGTTTTATAACTGTGCTTTAGGGTGGGAAATGTTTTTGTTTTCATAAATGCTTATGAGGCTTCTAGACATAAGACCCTATTAAAATGTATTTAAAGGGATTGTAGTTCAAATCGATATGCATAGATATCGGTTTCCCACCTTGCCCTGTTGGACTTGTCAGCAAAACATCTTTGAGGTCTTGAAGTTGTCCCAGAGCCTTGGTCTGAAATAGATCCTGAACGGGCACCCTAGAGGGCGCACTGCTTACATTTTCTGCAAACAACGCAGAGCGCTCACTCCCAGGCTCCACAAAAGGGGAGGAGGCAGATCAGTTTCCTCCTCTCATTGAGAAAGCAGAGGATTGGAAGGCCGGGAGTATAAAGCCGCGCAGAGAGCGTGAAACAAAGCAGTCGGATCGGAATTGGACTTGGGAGGCCCGGTGAGGAGTCAGACAGAAAACTTGTTGGAGGGGAGTAACGAGCCGGCTCCGCTAGCTCTCCTCCTCGTCTGCGCCGCGCTTCAGGGGTTTTCCATCAGCCTTGCGATTTATTTTTATAACGAAAGACATATAAACATATATATAATTTTTCTTCATAAGAGAAAATTCCTGTTCCAAGAGAAAATAAGGCAACATCAATGAAGGAGAGAAGAGCCAGCCAGAAATTATCCAGCAAATCTATCATGGATCCTAATCAGAACGTGAAATGCAAGATAGTTGTGGTGGGAGACAGTCAGTGTGGAAAAACTGCGCTGCTCCATGTCTTCGCCAAGGACTGCTTCCCCGAGGTGAGTTGGCCCGCCGCGGCTTTCTGGAGGAGGTAGGCCCGTGGGATCCCCGTCTTGAGGTGGGCTTCCCCGCTTCCACCCGTTTTTCCTTAAAAAAAAAAAAAAAAAAAAAAAGTCGTCTTTCTCAAACCTTACTACTTTCCCCTGGTTAGACTGCGGGGAAGGAGAAAGTGCGCTGGAAGCTTCAGGGCTGGGACGCGCCTGCACATGGGCTGGTTAGCTCCTGAAACTTGTTCCTGTGTGCAAAACCCGGGGTTGGAGATTCGGGTCAGCATGTCCGTGAGAGCAGGGCGGAGCGAGAGGGGAGCAGGACAGGAATTTCGGAAAGGGTCTATGTGCTTGGTGTGTGGTCTGATGGGTGTGAGGGTTTTTTTTCTTAATTGGGGAGCGGGGAGGCGATTTTCAAAGGGTGTTCAATCGGTTTCGTGCGTTTTAAGATAACCTCTTCGCCCTCTTTCCTTCCTCTTTTGCCCATTTTGTCTATCCAGAATTACGTTCCTACAGTGTTTGAGAATTACACGGCCAGTTTTGAAATCGACACACAAAGAATAGAGTTGAGCCTGTGGGACACTTCGGGTAAGAGCGGTAGGACCGCGTGGCGCTTGGGGCGGGTTTCCAGCCGCTGGGGGATGAGCGGCGGGTCTCGGTAAACCGCGCGCTGCAAGCCGTCTGCGCCCCTCCATTAGCTTTGCCCCTTCGGAGGGATTCCCACGGTCTCTGCTGGGCGAAAATTGTATCCCTTCTGGGTGGGGGCGGCAGACGGCAGCGTGGACGAGGAAATGGCAGTGGGGTGAGGAGGGCACTGTGTGCCCGCAGGCTGACCCCGCGGTTGGAGCCACTAGTGGCCAGGTGGCCGGGCACAGTCTGCCCGCGGAGCCGTGGTCTGGTCGCCTTGGGGCGGCCGAGGTGGCCAGACGCTGGGGGGTTTGCGGAGGCTCCGCTTGCGCCCCCGCGGAACCACCCGGCTCGCGGCGGGTTCCCTCCTGATCTAACCTGATGGTTGGCTGGGAGGTGGGGGCCGCCGCGGGGGTGGTGGGAGGCGGGAGAAAATCCCCGAGGCGACGCGGTTACATGCGATTGCCGCTCTTGAGGGAGAGAAACTGAGCGCAGGCAGCCGCGGCGCCGGTGACGCCTACAGCCAGGAATGCGCTGGCGGCGCAGGGGCCGGGCAGCCGCTGGGCTTCCTCTTTGAGCCGCCGGCCGCCCGCGGCGCCTCGGTGCCCACCTGTACCGAACCTCCCTTTCTCCCCCACTCCATCCCAGTGATCTTGCCGTTCCCCTCCACCACACCAGCCCCTCCTGACCTCTGTTGCATCCCCACTCTGCTTGCCTCCAAGTCCGCAGGCAATACTATTCGCCTTTGACCTTCCCGTCTACTTGAATTATTGGCGCCGCGGTGGGTTATATTCATGGGTCTGAGGTTCAAGGCCGGGTTATTGCTTTCCCATGCGCCCACCCACCTACCTGGCGCGCGGTGTTAGGGAGGGCTGGGTACCCTACCGGTGGGAAGCCATCCGGCTCCCCGGCTGAGTTAGGGGTTTGGGCCAGGTCAAAGACCGTGGCGTGGCAGAGGGGCACCATCTAAGGTCTTGGCCGGGGACCCAGGCACCCGCCGCCCTAACCAGCGGTGTCCGGCGAGTCTGTTTCCAAGAAGGGTGTCGCCTCTGGAAAAGCAGGAGTCATTGGGAATGCTGGGTCAAGGCCCCTGCTTAGGGCTGGGAGTTTAGCCGGGAGCTGGGTTGCTAGTGGACGGAGCCAAATCCGGGGTGAAACTGGCGAGGAGGAACGCGCAAGTGCCAACAAGCAGGTTTGCTGTCAGGCGGGGAGGCCCCGAGGTGGAGCCGCGCCCAGCGGGGAGTGGCCTCATGGAGGTGCTTCTGTGAGCTTCCCACAACTCTAGGCTTGAACCGCTGGAGCCCCCGAGGGACGCGGGGGATCTAAGAGCATGAGGAAGGAACCAGACTGACAGGGTCGCCAGAGGCGGTCCCTGCACAAAGGCAAGCGAGAAGTCTCGCAAGAGCGAGCGCCTCTCACGGTCGGTGCCAGATGCTGCGACTGCTGCAGTGAGAAGGGCTGATTTTGTTTCCCCCTAGAGAGTCAGGTTCTTCTTTGAGCCGTTCCAAAGGCAGCAGAGTCAGGACTTTGCCGCCTTGTTTTGTGTTGGGAATTGTACACAGACTCGAAACCATAGAGAAGGTGTTGGTAGACAGAATTCAAGTGATTCCTTATTTCAGTAGTTCCTGTCATCAGAATTATTATACAGCCTCGTACTTAATGGGCTCTGATTCCTAGACACATCATGGTATGTATTAGTTATGCCTAGTGGATGTGACAGCTGGTGTGGTACCAATAATAAGCACCAGTACTCCCTGCCCCCACCCGCAGCCCTGTTTGGACCTAATGCACGATAAAAATTATTTTGGCACGGGATGGAGCATGGGTCTGATCCAGTCGTCGATACAAAGCTGTGTTTAGATCTTAGCTCTCCGTTACCATGGATTTCTGTGTGCAAATCCCCTACCTCCCTGGGTCTCATTTTCATCATCTGTAAAAAGAGGACACTGAGCTAGATGATGTGCAGGATCTCTCCCAGCTGTACACTTCTTGGCTTTATTACGCTGGACAGGCAGGTCTTTTTGTTTCCCAGGATGTTGGTTGGTTTCAGCTTTTAGTCTCAAGGGATCTGGCATCCCGTGCTGGGATTTTCACAGCCTATATCCCAGAAGCCAGGTTCTGGGCAGGGGCAAGCTTCCTGGTGGATTTAGGAATGAAACCCATTTGGATAGGGAGGGGGAACGGGTGGTCTTATGGGAACGCTGGGCTATACATTCTCTATCTCAAGCTTCAAGAGTCACAGGACCACCAACGGAGATTTTGGATTAGATGCCTAAAGGGCTAAATTGACCTTTTTAGGGGAGAAAAGGCACATTATTTGATAAGGCTAGAAAATAAAACAAACAAAATGTGGGCAGTTTATAGTTAGAGGCTGTCCTTGGAATGTGCAGATAAATACCACTTCAGATATCTCATTGCATTTGATGAAAACTCTACAGTTTGTAGACTCTGCACACATAGCATAATGCCTTGCACACAGTAGTTATCCAATAAAATCTGATGAATGAATAAATGAGTAATGATATGCATAGTTTCCAAGGAGATGAGGTTCTCTGACATTTATTCACACTGAATTACCTGTGCGCAAAGAATGGCAACTTTATAAACAGTACCTTTCATCGAATTGAAGATAATCACCTGAAATGGAGTTTGTAGTGAAATAATCATTTGTCTTTTTATTTAATGAAACCAAAACCTATGTGTGTTTAACTAAGATACAAAGGTTTGAAAATGTGATTAAGAAAATTTTGTACTGCAAAATTATTCAGTAATGAAGTCTTAGTTAGAATTTAGATTTAAACAAATGGAAAAAAGAGGCATAAGGGAATTATTTAGAATTCTATTATGTTGTTCATGAGGTGAAATGCTAGTTAATTAAACACACGTCACCAAGCACCGCTTACTGAAATTCTAAGAATAGCCTGTTTCCACCAAAGGTGATTTGTTATATATATGTAACAGGAACAATTGCATCAGCAACTAACTATTTCAAGGATCTTTAACGTTTTTCCATTTAATTCCAAGCACTTCATGGCAAATTTCTGGACAGGATTATTTGTGGTAAATGTTTGACATTTTCTTGCCTATTAAGACATTTGTTTAGTTCAGATTGTAAAAATAATTGCATATACCTTATGCTTCCCCCCACCCAAAGGCCATCAATTTAACTCTAGAGAAAAAATCTAAGCCAAGTCTGCAAAGTTCTAAATGTCAGATAAATTAAACTTTCTATTTCCCTCCTATAACTTTGCGAAAGAAACTTGTATAGGAAAAATTGGGTGTGCCTGACTTATATAGGGTGAGAGATGGGGTGAACATTATCCTTTGAATGATAGTTCCTGTCCTGTTTACCTTCCTAGCACACATAGCACAATGCCTTGCACACAGTAGTTATCCAATAAAATCTGGATAACATTTAGAATACAGAAACTGTTCTTCTCTTTTCTGGCCTAAGTTGGACAGCTTCTCCTGAGGGGTCTACTTTTCCCCCCCAGCAGTCATGATCATGCATAGACAAAACTCTGCCAATTTGGATGTGGGAAAAAATATCAAATGGAAGTAGAATATGTGAAGTCTCTTTGCACCAAGAGAAAAAAAAATAATTCATTTCCTGCTTTTTGAGGTACAGTAACATATTTCCTTCCTTTCTCCATCCATCGCTTCCTTTTTCCACATCTACTATAAACACGTCCCTTGTTAGACCTTAGAGATACAGTGTGAATTAAGTACTTGGTTGCAGATCAGGTAGGGTAGTGGAGAAAAGCCCTTCCGGTTTAGTGTATAGTACATTGACAACTCATGATATACCCAATTTTGTCAGGTTCTTGAACCCCAGTGCCCTCTTCCACTTGGTTGCAATGTTTTTCCTTTGTCAGACATCCTAGAGCTTATAGACACTCTGGATCCTCTTTAGATAGGAAGCAGCTGCCCCACTCCTCCCATTGCATACACCAGTTAAAGCAACTACCAAAGGCACTTTGCTAGTCGATTCTTAGAGCTACAGTACTCCAGCCCCTCTCCAAAATAAACAAATCCTTTGTAAAAATGCTGTATGAATCATCTAAAAGAGGTAATTTTTTAAGTCCCATAACTATTTCATTTTCCTAAAAAATATTTCTTTTTCATTATAAAATGAACATTCTTAATAGTTGCAGAAATGCTCCCACTGATTTTCAAATTTCACCCAATGAGTTTCTGCAAAACAATGGGTAATAGTTTAGACATTGTAAAATAATAAGGATGACCAAAGTAATTCTAATAACTTGTGCTTCAAAACTGACCACATTTGCCAAGCATAGAAGTCATTTGTAGCATGAAGCCAAATGCCTCTATTAATAGAAACGTAGTCATTTAAGGATCACCGTATCTTTTCCTAAGAGATTTGATTGCAGTATAATTTCAGCACATGTGATTTAGGGAGTAATAATCATTCATTCCAGCTTTTAACCAAGGCAAGTTAATGCACATTTTATTTAAGGCTTATTATTACTTTTAATATATTCAGTTCAGCTGTTAAAATTCCCCACAATAACTATGCTATTGCCTCATGAATACTCTTTTGAATCTTGTCATGATCCAAGCTGCTTTTAAGCCCTAAGTGCTAAAGTTAGTACTTCCTATTTTAGTTTTTAGCATTACTAACGGTTAAGGTAGTATTCTTTATTTTTTGTAGTTAGAGAAAAAGGGAGGAAAAAATCTTAATTAACTCATGGCCTTAATCTGAGGACAAACTTCTATATAAACAGAAGTCTATCTAAGTTGTTACATTTAGCTTAGACATCAAGTATGAAGATGGTCTTGGTGACAAGCTCTCTAATGAAATATTTCTTAATAGGGATGGAAATGGTTCAGCAGTATTGGAGATTAGTATATAATTAATCCAGAAAAGCAGCTTAAAAAGAGATCACTGCTCTGTCTCTCCCCCTCCCCCCTTTTTTAGTGATTTAGCATATAAATGAACACATCTAGGTAAGACATATAAAAATGATTATAAAACCAATAAACATGGTTTAGGGCTTTCTGTGCGCATACAATATGCTAGGTGCTATGGAAGGGGTACAGAGCTGGGCTACAGCAGCTTCTGTCCTTAGGTACTCACAATTTCACCATGTGATAAGGCAGATGTGGTTAAAACATGAGTGACAGTGAAATTTGAAAAGTTCAGGCTTTCCCAAACTAACAAAAGAAATCAAACAAGGAGCCCAGATTAAGTGTCAGGTGTTTAGATGGGAGGAGATGCCTGTAGACTGAGACTTGAACAGGGTAAGGACATCCTTCTTCCCTGATACCCTTCTTCAAATACGCACAGGACAAACAGAGGACATAGAAAGACTTCCTCCTGTCTAGTGCTATAGTACTTGTTTATAGGAAGGTGAGTCTGGAGGTTCTAAAGCTGGACTTTTCCAGGAGCAACAACATCCAAAGGGTTGTCGAAGGTCGCATGGGTAGCTCAGGCTCCCTAACTCATGACGTATATGCTTATATTTAGTGGCTCTCAGAGAAAACAAGTTTCTGGAAGCTGAGAATTATAACTTAAATTAACCTTCTTGGAGAAAGGAAGAGGTTAAGAATTTATGAAGGAGCCAGAGAAGTATGGGTGCTTGGGATTTGAATGTCAAGCTCAAAATTGCAGGAAACCAGTTATTTTATCAGGTAGTAATGATTTGTTGGAGTTTAGGGTGTCAAAACTAGGTTTAATTCTTAACTTGGGTTTTCACACTGCAACTCTTTAAGAGAACTGGGTTAAGGTAAAACAGATAGTTTGGATGGTGGTTTCCATCCAATAAGATGGTTTGGATAGTGGTGAGTACCATCCAGTAAGTTGGTTTGGATGGTAAGCAGTACACAAAACAGTGCATCTGGGGATTTGTCCATCATGCAGTAATTTCCATTTAAATCATGGAACCTCCCAAAAAAATGGGAGGGGAGGTATGAATGCTCTTTCTAAGTCTACATCTGTCTGTACATTTGTTTTTTAGCCCTATTTAGTGCTGGGTTTTTTTTCCAATTTGGTTTTTTGCTAAGTTGCACATTTCAATGAAGCATCCAAATTGGTCATTCTGATACCACCTGAAATAACCAGATGTTTCCTCATTAATCCAGTTCTTTTGCATGTAAATATGACACCAAGGACCAGTACTTTCTCCAGTTAGCTCATGGTGCCTGGCGGTCTGTGCCAAATGAATTACTCATGGCTCAGTCATTTTCTGATATC